CAGAAGTGAGTCTAAAACTGAGTTAAGTTGCTTGAAGGAGCTGCAAAAAAGTGGAACTCCTTGGAATAAGAAAAGCTTTTAATCTCCCCTCACAAAAGGTAGACAGCATAAATCAGACATTGTGGTTAATGTTTAAAATTATACTTAAAATTATACTTAATTTTATCTCTATTAAATAGTTTGATTACACAGGAAGTATTTAAGCTAACATGAACAAGTCATTAGATTAGATAAGGGAGGGTTATTTGGCAACATTTTGATTAATTTGAGTTGTTAGGGAAAGGACTTCAAAACTTAAGTAGTACAAGGATAGTGCTGCTGAATGCTACTACACAGAGCAATCATTCCATAGGCAGACAGCAACACATCCAAGTGCAGGCATTTGTGATGATGCATTTGTATTGGGTTTGCAGCTCAATATTGTCTCTAGAATCAGAAAATCTGAGACAAAATTATTAAAAAAAATTAAAAAATTAAAACCTTGCTGACTCAGAGTTGCAGCTGAACTTGACAAGTTCATTTTACAATAGGCATATTTCAAGGTTGCTCCACTTGAAGGTTTAGAAAACAAATCACAGTGACCTGGTGGGTGGTGTGGTCACACAGGGTGAAAGATCCTCCTGGCAGGGGAGTGGCCCCTGGGTGATCTTTCTCTTCCAACCAAGCCATCCCTTACCAGGCTGAAAACCTGGCTCAATAATGTGTTTTATCAGTTTAGCAATAAGCCAACTCTGAGCTGGCAGCTACATTCCAAATCCACCCTAAAAAGTGAAACACCAAAACTTCTCATCTGGTCCATTCTGTGTACCCTGTCTCTGACAGGAGACTACATTTTGCACTTCCAGATACATTTAGGGTAGAAAAAGAAAACATCTGGAACATATGTAAGCATTAACCTGAGAAGCTGAGGGGAAACAAGACAGTAACTGCAACCAGATTTGAGCCATCAGCACTGAAGTTGAAACTTTATCTAAACTCTTGCTGGTTCTCATTTTATAAAAGAACCAGTGATCTCATTTGTCAAATTCTCGCTGCAGACAGCTCAGACAGGATATTTCATTCACTACTTTCTTTTTCAATGTCCTCTGAACCTGCTTTCTAGTGGCAGAAATTGAGGGAAGTTATTCCTTCTGTTCTCTCCTCATCCTGTGGGACTGTCACTTTCCCTGCCTGCCTTGCTATGCCTGCTTTCTCTTGCCTTGGGGAACAGCCTGCCTTTTCCTCCTCCTAACAATGCAATACATATTTTCTTGAGGGGGTGCTGCATTTCACAGCTCAAATGTCATTTCACAGTCTAAAAACTCCCTGCCTCCAAAAGGTGGGCATCATCCTGCATGTCCCAGCCTCCTACACCCTGCTTTTTCCTGTTGTTTCCAGCTATCACATGCACCCTGCTGTCCTCCTCACTCAACTCCCTGATGCTAAAGATAATCAAATCTTGTTCAGACAAAAGGGAGGGATCACTTAGCCAGTGGATGTGGGAGGGCAGGAAGGAAAAGGGACTCTCTCCCCTTTTGGTGACAGCAAGTTGCTGCTTGCTCAGCTCCAGCAGCATCACTTTTTTACCCTTATTTCACAGCACATCTAAATTCTCCATTTACCTTTAGTTAATTCTCCAATTTGCAAGCCCTCATCAACCACTACAAAAATCTTTCAAAACAAACACCTGTGTTTTAAATATAATTGCAGCTGAAAATGACCAGCAAATATGCCTTTCTCACCTTTTCCCCTCTTGTGTAGTAAGTACCCCAGTGGTTTTTGGAGTTTTTTCCCCTTACTGCTTTCAGAAATATCATGGAACTCTCATCTACCTGTTCTGCACACCCCCATACTCCAGAGTCACTACATGACTACAATCAGCAGTAAGAATATAAATCCTACTCCCCCCTCATCAGCCCTCCTGCTTCCCTACCTACACATAGGCTGTTTATAGACATCAGCTGCTCAGTCAAGGAATCTCTATCAGCTGGTACAAAAAACTCTCTAAACATGACACAACCACCTTGTATTTATTAAAAAAAAATATATTAATTAAGAGATATAAATGTTTTGCCATTTTTTCCCATGTTCACTCTAGCTCTTGATGTTATTTAAGGCATGGGCTTTGAACTTTCATTACTCAGGTAGGGGAACACCAAACTGACTGCAAGAACAGGCTACATTTTTAGGAGAGGCTGCTTGACAACAAATCCTCTTAAACCATTCCACTTTTCACTACAGAACAATTTTGTCAAATTTAAAAAGGGGATTTATTCATTAAGTTACAACCCAGCCAAATTTTACTCTTATCCAATGTGATAATCACAGATGGAAGTTTGAACTTTCTTCTGAAACAAGCCTGTTAATGGCAAGGCAGCACTGCACAGAAGTAAAAGAAAGGCTAAAATTGAAATAATTGTATTAATTATCATGGCAATATCTTAAAATACACATAAAATTCTGCTCTTCTAATGTAACATACCTTTTTCCCTTGAATAATGTTACTGCTCATGCTGCTGGTGAACAAATAACTCTTTCCAATGTTCACATGACCTTTCTCTGAACAGCCTTGAAAAAGTTATTGTCACAAAAAGAATGCCAAATCTAAGCAAGAAAAAAAATGTAGGCAGGTAACAGCTACTGAAAAACTGTACTCTTTTTTTTTTTTTACTCTATAAATCCATGTTTTAGTCAATCTGACCAACTTTGGTACCTAATTCTGCAAAGCTCTAGTATCCTGAGTAAGAGTCCATCAAGGGAGAGCAAAAGAAGGGATGAGTTCATCTATTCAGGCCTCAAGGTGGGTCAGAAGGGATTAAGTCATGTTTATCAATTTGTGTGTATTTTCATAGTGGAGGAAAAATAGGTAAAGACAAAGGAACAACCACTATGCAACACTTAACTTTGTCCAGCACAATTCTTGAGAACTCTGCTATGATAAACTGTCATTATCTCATTATTTGATCTTCAGTAACCACAAAAAAACAAGAGAAAGTTTAAGCAGCAGTGACTTTCTCAGGTCAGACTGGAGGGCATGGGAGCTTCATGGACTGCCTTGGAAACTGCACAGGAGAGAGAATCCTGAGCCTTAAACACATTGTCTCATCAATATTCTATGAATAGTTTTCCTTCCACTCTTGGAAAATTATAAATGCTTCACTCTATGCTAATGATTAACTGCTTGCAATGCACAGTTCTGCTAAACACACTCAGCATTCACATTTAGTCTTTCAGGGCTAGGTAGGGAATAAAACTGCCACTTATATTGCATCTGATGGTGTAATTGAAATTTTCATTCATGCTATCATTTCCCATTAACCCAGGCTGAGGTCAGACTGTTGTAGCACTGTGTTTATGAACACAAAAGTTACTTTATTTACTAGATATGCTCCCCAAAGCCTACTTAAAGCTGTTAAATTTTTCAAATATTCATGTAGATAATTGGGTTTTTTCTTTATTATATCAACACCAAGACAAAAAGCTGTTCTCATACTCAAAACAGAAGCATTTTTTCCTTACCTTCGAGGAGCTAACTTAGCAGTTTACATACATTGCAAACAGATGCTTCTACCCTAATTTAGTCATAACACACAGTGATGGTATCTAGAGAAGCACAGAGCAGACTTGTGTGGCTTCTACCATCCCTTATCTCTGCTGCAAGTGGTACTGTTCTGCTTTGCAATACCCAATGAGCGCTTTGAGATGCTGGCAGCTACTAATGAAAACATCTCTTTCCTCCTCCTCCTGCCTCAGAGAAGCTAACAGCTTTCATGAGGTACAAAGCAGAATAAAAACATTGTTTCTGTAATCACTTCATTAATAACTTATTCCCAACCACACACGGTTCCGCTTTCTCTCCTATCAGGATGCAGCAGATGCTACAACTCCAAATTATTCAAGAATTTGATTAGTTACTATCCTCAGCAGCTGAGCCACTGAACACAGCAAAGTCTGTCACGGTGAAAAAAGGGCAGTGTAAGTTGCACCCAGAATTTGCAATATTGCAGAAATCCTCATTGCATGCAACCCTGCCCTGGAAACAGCACAGCACATCCAGTTCCTGCTGTTTCCATGGGCTTTTCCCATCAGCTGTGGCTGCTCCAGCAGCTCCTCCAGCACGTGTTAGAAAGGAGGAACAGGGGGCAAAGACAACAAATAAAGACAGACTCAAATGTGCAAGTAAATTATTAGTTTTTCCACAAGCTTAGTAAAAAGTTGATGGTGATATTGGTAAATCACTCCTTGGCCCTGCTGCTTCCACAGGACAATCACCTGGAAGGGAGAATGCTGGACTTTGAGCCACCCTCATTCTTAACTTAAACTAAGAAAAACTAACCAAACACACATAGAGAACACAAACTGGTGTTTTTCATTGGGTGTTAAGAGCAGCAGCTCCCTCAGAACCCCTGTTTGGAGCCGGCTGTAGAACCGGGTGAGGGAGTGCCCTGGCCCCTCCTGCCTCACACACCTCTCACTGCAATTAATTACAGCAATTAGCTCGGGGGGCAGAGCAGCCCCGACTCCAGCACTGCCTTCATTAGGGAAGAAGGAAAAATAGAAAAAAAAATAAAGAAGCAAGACAGAGGCCTCCTTCTCAAGGGATTAAGGGTTACTTCTCAAAGAATCAAGGTTTCAAATATCAGCATAAAAGAGTTTTGAAACATGTGGAAAAGAGGTTTTACACGGAATAAGAGAACAAAGGCTACAATTACAATCACCCTGAACTGGATGTGGCTCAGTGTGACTTATCCTGATGTTACTGCTTTCACCTCAGCCATCATTAGCTCACCTGACAAGATATCAACACCCCAGTTAGCAAAACCCTGCCCTTGCCACAGCACTCCTGGAAAACATGGCTCAGGTAGCACCACTTAGCACAGCCCTCCACTGTCTGATATACAGCTGGTGTTAATGATACAAGTGCTCTGAAATGCATTTCATACATTTCTTGGGGCTCTAATAACATCTTATTATGGTCATTGTTGCAGTCAGTTTGTGACGTAGGCGGAATTCTCACAATGTGCTCTGCTTGTTCGTAGTGTTCAAACACATTCTGGTGCAGGCCAGCCCTGATTAGAAGCAGACTGGTGGAGGATTATTCCAGAGGTAGTTAAATACGATTCAATAGAATTAATCTCATCTGGTTCTTGAGCTAAATGTTTAAAATCCCTTTAGCACTTCTTGCTTCCTCCATTTTTAACAGTGTCCCTGGGCTTGATTATTTCTTTTGCCTCTGCAGGATGATCCCCAAAATATTTGATATGACATGAAGGAAACAATTGCCTTGCTCACTTCCTCCTCTGTTTGAGCCCTACATCCTTTTGTCCAGTCCTCAAAAAAAATAACCCTTGCAGGTGCCTGGTCTTGAAGAAAGGCTTTGTTTCCATATTCACAAATACAAATATTTTCAGATTGTTGAGAAGATTTTGTAGGGAAGCCATGGTTTACCTCTGTGTTTGGGCAGGAAACACTGAGCTATTCACAAAAGCATTTGGGTGACAGCTGGCATGTAATAGAGTATGCCAGCTGATTCACTGGGCAAAAAGGGCTGAAGAATCAGGTGAGAAATCCAATGAATCCTTTGGGTGAAGGAGTAGCATGAAACAGAGAGCCCTTGAAGGATGAGCAGTATGTGAAGCAAAAAGCTGAAGAAAATCTTTACTGAAAAGCTGAAAGCAGTTGAAGGTTAGTGTGTGGAGGAGTAGGTCTGAGCTGGTAAGTGTATGAAGCAGGAGAAAGGATGCAGATCCCAGTAAGAATGGCAAAACAGCTTTCTTGACCACTGTGGACAGTTGTTCTGGGTGCTAAGTAAAATTCACTAGAGCTGAGTCAAGGGCTATACTCATGGTTTGAGACAGGTAAGAAAAAACTAGCATTGCATCATGGAAAGAAAACAATCTTCACAGACTTTTCAAGGCCACCTGGGAACAAGAGTTTTGAATTACACTTAGAAAAGCAATAATTCCCAAAAAATTGAGAAAGCAAGTCCTAAGCTCCCAGCATAAACCTTTTTATTATTTTGTATAATAATAGCACAAGAACAAATATGGGACGGAGACTGAGAGAAAATTTTTAAGAAAACAGAGCAAAAAAGTAGAAAGGAGGTCAGTAATGAGGACCTGAGGAGCCCTTTGAAGGACAGAGCAGTGTAGACAGCTTTATCAGACAGAGTGAGAGATGCCTCCTTTTGTGCCCTGGTTTTGGCTGGTTTAATGAGCAGAACAGAAGAAAGACTCTGGAAGGATGAAAGAAATTAATTCCTGTTTTTCCTTCTGGTATCACTTCTTCCCCAGACCTAGAAAATATGCTCAAAGCCATGGACCTCTGTTCTCTGCCTTGTTCCTGGTCAGAAGATGAAGTCCTGCCCTGCAGACTCTGCAGCTGCTCCCAAGGGTGAAAGAGTGGAAAAGACTGTATAAGCAATAAAAAAATATCTTGATGGTAATAATCACATGTCCAAAAAAAAAAAATCAAAAAAATTCAAGCAAGTGTTTCTGGCAGTAATGCCAGAAACTGGTATAATGGATTCCTGATTTATTTACCATACTTGCTACTCACTTTCAGCTCTAGCAGGAATCAATAATACTTCAAGCACAGACTCCATTCACATTCTCCTCACAGTGACCACATTCATAACTAGTATTTGTTTGCAGTCATATTAGAGAGATATGAGTAAAATATATTATGGCATTCTTCATAAAGCCTGTAGGCCACATAAAACAAGTATAACTCTCAGTTGTGTCACTCCCCATAACTCAGGCTCTGAAAAGCATGACTGGATTCATCAATTCTTGTTAGTCCCAGTATTAAATAATGTATGAACATATGAATAAACAGAACAAAGAAAAAATCCAAATTGGTTTTGTATATGGAGTCCTAAGAACTTTATTAATTTATTTTCTGTGTAAAATCTTACTCAATGTGTACTCACTCTGTTTTCCTGATGGAAACCAGTGCATAATGTAACTATATGCAATCTGGCCAGCAGTTTACTGAAAATTATGTTACCAGCCTGTGTTTACACCCAGTGTAATCTTCCTGTTCAATTTGAGGATATTTTTCCTGTGTTTTTTAAACGTCTACAAAGAAATGCAGGGAAGACTAATAATGATATCTGCAGTAGCAAGGGAGTTGCCAACACTCTCCTTTCTTCAAATCAAATTACAAGTTTGATTCCATTGTCTTAACATTCTGCTTCTTAGAAACTGCTGGGTATCTTGAGAGGTATCTAAAGAATCCCTAAATGGTATTACAACCAGAAAAGATTATCAGCCTCTGGCATTTTGAGCTGGAGCATAACAGTAATTTTGTTTCCATTAGATAGAAGATATATCACAAACTAAATTGTTAAAAAAGCCACTAAACTCAATCAGCCCACACATTATTCTGAATCTGAAAAATCTAGGTAGCTTCATGCTAATGAAATGTGCCTTAATGCTGATATCTTTGTAGAAACACTACTGTGGAAATAAAGGTAAAAGAATGCCACAATGGGACCCAGAGTGGTACTAAAATGTAAGGGTTATTTACTAATAAACACTAATGATGCCACATGGAAAAGACTGAGGATAAAACACATTTGTCATGTATTTATTCTCTTCTATATGTGCAGAGCTCACCATCAGAACAGTTTGATCAGTGTATAATGGAAAATAAATATGTTTGTATCTTTATTCATTCACCAAGCATTTCCTAATTACGTGATGCTCTCACTAAGCTGGCTGCTTTTGCTGTGTTTGCTAGTTTTAATTTCACACAAAGAATAATAAATACAGATGATCTTTTTCATATCCCTTCTCAGCATGTTGAATATTGCTGCTTTTACTCTGAGGATGTAATCTCTTGGAAGAGAATTCTTGTGCCATCCACATATTTCACTGGGAGAATGATGAGTTTATGTTATTATAAAATTGGCATGTGCTATAAAAACAAGATCATCTAATTTTGTGATAAATACAATCTACAAGAGGGAAGAGATAGAACTGTCTGTTTTCATATCATGTTTTGAACCAGAAATGAAAACAATACTAAAAGATGCTAGATTTGCAGTTTTAAGGAATAGAACTGCTCTGTCTGTGAAGATGATGGAGCAGAACCACTCTGTTTTCATTGTACTTCTCATTTTTGTCCAATTAATTTCATAGGAACTACTGATAACCCTTTAATTGCTATTACTCCCCTGTATAATTAGACTGTCTATATGAAGGATGAAATTACAGCTGTTACAGAATTATTCACTAAGTCATCTCCCCAGAAATGTTTTTTTTGATAGCATGAATTCTTGAGATACACAATTGCTTCATTAATTGCTCGATTTTTTTTTACCCTTCCATTTTCCTTGACTTTATTAGGTAATGCTCATATTGAAGGAGGCCACTTCCTAAGGGCACATCCCACCAGCTGACCTGTTCCCTTTCTTCCCTGGTTTTTCTGAAACAACCCCCAGGGGAGACCCTGTAACTGCAGATTTGGAGATATTTCTTGGTTCCATACAAAACCCTTTGAGATAATGTGGAACAAAGAGCAGCTGATGGTAACAGAGCTTAGGAAAATTTGCATTAAAAGTTTGTTGTGCATTGGTAAGCTCATGAAAAAATTATCTGCTGTAGAGTTTTAATCAAAGATTGAATGACAATCTATTAGGGCACATCTTTTGAATAACTTTTAAAATACCATAATGCTGGTACAACTTGAAATGCTTAAGTAACTTTCTGATAGTAGCAGAGAAGGGAAGTATAATGCCTACAAATTGATATGGCTTTGAGTTTGTTTGGTGGGGAAAAACACTGTATGAAAAATTCATTTTCTAAAGTGATCATCAGTTACTAAACAACTATTTGAAGTGAATAATTTGAAACTAGGACAAACAAATAGCTCAAATTTTAGCAAATTGTTTATCTGGTGTGAATCTGAATTCTGCTTAGACTGAAGTAAACCTGTATTTATGCTGCATGAAATCAGCAGTAGCCACCTCACTGTCCACAAGTAGAAGATAAGAATGATCTTTTAAAGCCCCCTCCAATGACCATAATTAATGACCAATGGAAAGTTCCTCTTTTGTTGTAATGGAAAACTGTAAACAAAAGAGTTTGAAAACTTCAAACAAAAGCCAAGCAAATGAATTATTATATTCACTTTCAAGATGATAGATAATGCAGTGAGTAAATCATTATTGTAGTACTCAGAATGACATCACGGACTTATTAAGTGAGATTGTAACTATTTCGTGGAGGTTAAGACAGACACTTTCTGCATTTTGGTTTCTTTTTGACACAATGAAGATATTGTAATTTTGTACAGTATTATTTGGGTAACTAAATGAAATAGTAAGGAAGATGATAGTAGTAACATAGAGACTGTTATATCTGCATTAAATTTATAGAGGATATGATGAATTCAGATACCGTGGCTACCCTAAGAGAGAGAGACTTTTCCTAATCTTCCATGAAATCATATTGTAAATTCTCAAGGGCATTTCCTACTCCTAGCCCAGTGAGTAGCATAAAGACTCTTTGTTCAGCTGCTCCTAATCCTGAACATTTAAATTGATTGTTTATTGGTTGAAATATATTTAATAAACACAAGACACTTTATTGTGTATTAAATTCTGCCCAGTTTATATATGACTAGAAGTGAGCACAGTGACATGGAACAAAAAGTGAGTGGAGTAAAAAAAAAGAACAACTTAGTGATAAGAAGCATTTCATGAGAGCCAGGTTATATAAGAAAGGAAATATATTTATGCATCAATTTTGTCTATTTATTAGAGCATGCATCTGTGTTCTATAATAGAACTAAAACTGGAGGTGGGGGAAAAGAAATAAAGTATGTTATTAGACAAAGTTTTGTGGAAATGAGCTGCACAAACAGATTAAGTCATAAAATGTCTCCAGTTCTACTAAGGCTAATTTTAGTGTTTTCAGTAGCTTCTTCACTGCTTAAAGTTCACCTTAATATTTTCTCACTGCTAAGCTCTTCCCAGAGCAAATATTTTTATGGGCTTGATATTACCAGCAACTGTTGATCCTGGCACAGGGACAGAGGAATATTAGATATTGTAGTGGTTTCCATTGCCATGACCACCTGCCACCACCATCTTTGCTGGCAATTAATAAACTAAAACTAAAAGAAAACTAATAAAAAACTAAAAGAAAAGAAAAACACTGACCCAAACCAGAGAGTTTTACTTTTTTAAATAATTTGCCTTCAATACAGCAGTAACAGAACATCTCCCTATGTAGAGATCAAAGCATTAATAAAAATAACAGGAAAAAGGACAATAATTTTTGGTTCTTGCTGCCACTTTGTTTTCCCAGCTTGTGCTATGTACAAACAGGTCAAGCATTGCTTGTTATTACTTGTGTTAAAGCACAGAAAGTTCTCTTCAACAGAACTTGCAATTTCTGGGATTCTTTGCTTACAGTTGAACTGTTTTGATAATAAGACGAAGAATCTAACCAAATTAAGGGCAAGAAACAAACAGTAGAATTCTGTCCTACACAGGGAAAGCCTGGTACAAAAATAACATTTATTGTAATTATAAGGAACATGTAGTTACTTGTTTCTTAATTTGCTATCCAAAATTAGAAGAAAACAACTTCAGAATTTTTTTCTGATGGGATAGGTGGCAAAAGCAGATTCACTTCCTGTGAACAGACTCAAAAGTAAAAAAGTGATACTCTACTTCATACAGAGAAGAAATAGCCAGTTAGAAGAAAAATTATAGAACTTTTTTTAGATCAATGTGAAGAAAAAAGACTTTACCAAATACTTGTTTCCACTCAGAGCCTATTTTAACAAGACATGGCTCGTACTATCAGATGAGAATAGAACAAAGCAGACAACCTTTTTTCCTTTTAAAAGAGTTTCTTCTCAAGTATCCACATTTTTGTGAAATTCAATCCCAAATGAATTCTTCTGGAGTATCTATAAGCATTTAATGAGCATCTATAGGACAACCATTTTTAGTATCTTGACGAAAACAACATAGTCAAAAACTCTGATTGTGCACCAACAGCTCCTCCCTCAAGCCACTCAGTATTTTACCTTTATTATATTGAAACTGCCTGGAAAAATCATTCATTTATAGCCCACCATTTACCCTGTGACTGCATATATCCAGTACAAGATGATTCCCCTGAATGGCAAATGCCAGGCTTTTTTTGGCAACAGACCAAAAAGGCTCAGCTCTGCCTCACCTGTGGCTCCAGTCTCTCCAGGTCACCAAAGATTTCATATTGTTATGCAAAAATATTCATTTTTATGCAAAAACCTGCATGGATGTGATCAAAGCATCGTGGCTGGTTTTGAAGCAGGGAAAGGGTTATGTGGTGATTAGTATGATTTATCTTTGAGAAACCATTTCAGATTAGGAAAGGAAAAAGCAGTTGCTACCGAGGCAGTCACTTGGAAGTCACAAAGAAAACAAAATGTAG